GGCTTGGAGGGGTTTTTTCTTCTGTAACTGAAAAGAAGTGGCGATGACAAGCTCCTTAATTCCTGTTTAATGACTGTTTTCTCACTGCCAAGGTCGCTGTATAAACACCATTTGTTCTTGCAGCCATAACAGCGATGAAATATAGCTTCCCATACTTCACCGTAACATTAATCCAACAGACGGTCTTTTGCTCACTCCAGTTAATAGCTGACTGGCAAACTCTGCAAGACTCTCCGAATTGCACAGAGGTGCCAAATTACTCTGCTGTACCCTCATACAGCTCAAATACTTCTTCAGCAAAAATACACACTTTTATCTTCTAAAGACTTTTCTGGGAAACACAGCCACCAGTCTTAGCAAATGATGATGGACAGACGGGAAAATGGACTCTGCTAATTGAAGTAACGCCTGGTGGCCTCTAAATCTCATTCCAAGTTGACACACTTTGAAATGAATGTACAGAGTGAATGTCCAGACCTGAAAACGTGTCGAAACATGTCAGGAAATTAATTCAGGGATAAAAAGTTCATTTAAAGCTGATCTTGCAATTAACATTCTTGCAATTAACATTCCTATAAATCAGCTGTTGCCAGGCCATGACAGAGTGAGCTGTAGACAGTTGGCAATTTCTTTCCTCTAGTGATCTCAAATAGTTAAAATATATGCATGTGGGTGTGTATATATACACACATATACATATATATATATATCTCTCTTTATAATTTAAATTACCTTTCTCATACCTCATCTAGATGGCTAAAATAACCACCAGAAACAACTGGTAAAAAACAATGCTCTGTTCCCAGTTAGCATAAAAGTTTCACTAAAAGGTCTTTTCTACCATGGAAGGAGAACAAGAGACCATACCGGGGTAAATGAGAGAAAAAGGAAGATGAAGTGATACATTGAAGCCTACTAAATAAATTTATATGAGTATGTACATCATGTCTATAAACTTTGTGAAGCTAAACTGCAGAAAAGTACTACCTTAATGACTGACTTGCCAGTGACATTTGCCACTAGAAAATTCATGGCAATATCTTCACAGTTCATATGAGCATCCACCCAGTTCTTGATGTCTCCAGGCATTTTGTAGGTGTAAAGATAGTTGAAATACTGCAGGACAGAGGGAGAGAAAGAGAAGAGAATTTTAAATACAGATGCAGTAACTATAAGACTGAATATTTCGGTCACCGAACAGCAGGCAGGATGGATCATAGGCAAACTGCGATCCTGCCTTCAGCCAAGGACTACTTTAGCAGATAGAAAACCATTTTTGGATGCTTAATTGCATAATTACTCCTTTCCTGAGCAGCACGCAAATGTCTTTACAATGGGTTTTCTCTTCTTAAAATGCTAGACACAAAGCTACATTCACTGCAAAATTTGCTGTGTAGTTACAGGTCACACAAACTGGCAAGAGTTCTTCTGCAAGTTCATGAAGGTAACAGTTTTATTTCACAGGCAGAGATAAATCAGTTGTTTTCAGAGCAACTGAAAGAAGCTTATGGACAGTTCACAACTGGTTCTCTGACTGTGTAGAAAACTTAATCACGGCACCACAAAACACTCGCACAACAATGACAGAAACACATACAGCTCTTTAAAAAAGGTTTGCTTTGTACGTTAGTATACTACAAGTTGTATATTACCTTGTGATAAAACGCTGCCCCAGTGAGCACCATCGAGACTTCATTGGTCCATTCTGATTCATATTTCCATTTGTTCATCTCATGATCCCAAAGATGCAGGCGGCCTGGATATCCAACCAACCTGTCGGGGAACTCACGCCAAACCTGAAGAGAAAAAGACGTGCCACACTGCTAACTCGGCCTGCACAGCAAGCAAATCCAAATGTGCGGAGGCAACATGACTGCTTTGGAGAGTAGACTTACAGTGGTGCAAAGACCACTTCAATTCTTCTCAGTCCCACTTCTTGGAAGAGCAAGCTGCCTGGAAAAAGCATGAAAAAGCTCAAGCTTGATTTGAAAGGACCCTACAACTCAGGGACACCATGCCCCCAGAGCAAAAGGCCACTAAAGCAATAGTAACTTCCTTGTTCTAGAGAAATACAACCAACTATTCAAAAAGATTTTAACACTAACTAAACCAAGCATGATTAAAATGGAATTTTTGATGTTAACTTCAGTAGATATGCCTACAACCTAACTACTTTCACAGCTGGCTTTGGATCTAACCAACCCGCTTGCTTTGATAGCAGCAGGCTTAAAACAAGCTTATATTTTAATATTTCTGGTATTCCTTAGTAGGTGCTTGGATGGATCTACTGCTACATGGAAGGCCTCTTTGCCCTTGACTTGTTCCAGACAGCTGGATACAATCAAGATACCATCCTTGTCACTCCATACATTATTTTCTAGCTGACTACAGGATCAAACTCAGTAGACAAGAACAAGGAGAAGGGCATCATTAACACAACCTCAGAGCTCCACGCTGCTGGCCACATTAAATAATGGACAATTTTTGCATTAAGAAAAAAGGAAGAAAGGATTATAATTATTCAGAAGGGTCTGAATCCTATTTGCTTGCTAAATAAAGTTTGTCTTTTTGCTGATCAATAATGAAGTCAATATTTACCTGCATTATTCGCAAATTACTCAAAATTTGTCCTTTAATCCAAAAACTGCTAGTTTTGTTGGAAGAATACGAGTCTTGACTCCCCGACACACAGTGTAGGTCACAAGAGTTTCTGCTTTGGGTTAGTAGCATATAAATAAAATCCCCAAATCTTATTGTGTATGCAAGATCAACAATGACAGCAACAGACCTCACAAATCCCCAACGGTCATTCCACTAGCAAACTTCCCTTCTCTGTACAAAAGGCAAGGGAACCCTGCAGTTCAGTTTGCAGTAAAGAAAGCGTTCTCTGGAATTTCACCATCCTGCAAACCTCACCTCGTCAGCAGTTCACTTTGGGCACTTTTTATGTGCCAGTATGTTTCAGCTGGGAGGCCTGGACTACAAGGACTCTGTGCAAGTATTTTGTCAAAGTAAATATGAGAAAACAATCAGTTTTAAGTTACTGCTTCTGTATCTACATTTCTGTGATTCTGCATTACTATATACCTTTTCATCTACACATCTCAACACATTTTATTGCTGTCAGTTAATATAGCTTCAGAATCCCATGATGAGAGCAGTTATTATTTCAAACGTACAGATGAGGAAACCTGCCAAAAATCATACAGGAAACAAGAATGGGAACCAGATCTTCCAACTCCTCGACTCGTACTTTCTGCAGAAATCAATCTTTCTAGACAGTTCTAGGACACAAGTACTGGGATAGTATTTAGACAGGAATATGCTCTAACAGAAGGCTCTTGAAAGCAGAGACGATTTAGAAGTCAAGGAAGAGAATTCATAGGACCCTGTTACAAGTTGGTGCCATCAGGTAATTAAAAAACCACAGATTTTTGGCAGGCAAGCCAGTGAGGGCTTGATATATCTATTTTGACATGATGTCAAAAACATTAATAAAGAACAAAAAAACAAAAGTATGGCCACTCCCTCTTCCAAAATGTCATTCCTCGCTCTCCAGGACTCAAAAAATGAGTGATTTAATTTTAGTTGGGTGTTTTTTTTTTTTTAAAACATGACTGTTAAAATGCCTATCTCCCAGCTGCTGGAAGGCACCACCATATAAAGCTACTGAGGCTCAAGAAAGAATGTGACAGAACGTTACAGATCTGCACCGTACTGGGCTAAGAATTCTTGCAGAGGGAATGGCATGTGTATTAAAGGCAGCTGAAAGAAAGATTAAACTCAGCTACTGCTTCTCAAGGGACTTCAGTGCCTTCACAACACAGAACCATAGATTCATATCGCTTCTAGTTTTTGCCCTCTGTGTCATCTTCAAGAGTCCACACAACATCAAAGCCAACTATAATGCATGTTACTCACACAGATTTCTTTGTACCACTGTAAAACTTAGCCCTACCCTGTCTCTGGCCCCTGAAAATCATCGGTTTGATGCATCTAAAAAATAACTTGGTTGCTTTAAACAAAGATTCCTTTTAAAAGTAATGCTATCAACGTCAGTGGGAAAGCTTGGTTTTTTCATAATGTTCATCGCTAGCTCATTCAATGGTAATTTCTGGAAAGGCTCCAAATAGCCACATCCAGCTCATTGCCCAAATCCATACCTATGTTTTGTGCCAAATTATATAGCTACTTCTTATAAGGAAGCTTTCAGAATAAAAACAGTGGTAATGATTCTTATACTACTCTCTATTTTGTACTCCCGTCCATTTTCTCGTTTGATGGTTGCCTATAATTTATTAGTCTGTTAGGAATACATTCCATTTTAGCCAGTGATCTTATTAGCTTTCTCAGACTAAAGAAGGATAGCCTGATTTAATGCTGGTAAGGGACACATCCAAGGAAAAACGTATTGCCAAGGGAAGAGGAGGTATGCTTCTTTGTGGACAACGCTATTCCAATGACTCTGTTAGACAACCCTGAAGATAAATATTTTTGGATGAAGCATCTCCCAAATGAGAAATCAAATAGAAGTTCTGACTTCGCAGTTTTACTAAAAATCTTGTTTAAGCCATGAAGAGAAAATGATAGTAATTTTGTTTCCAAGTAGAGTGCCTCAAGTGACAAACAGCCTAGCTACACACCCTTCAGTCTCACCTCTCCACAGTCCTCACTGCCTCCCTGCCTCAGCTAGTCTGTGCTATTCCACTGTGCCATCAGAACAGCTGCCACAGCTCATTCTCCACGTAGCCAGATGACAGAGAAGCACTTCCTTTCCCAGAATATACTCCAACATATATGCATTAAATTTATTAGAATATAAAAGTCACATGCAACTTCGGGAACTGGCTAATTACAACTAGAAAATTTTTAAATTTAATAAACAGAAAAATAATCAACATTTCCAAGGCTACCATGGCAACATTGTAAGAGTGAAACACTGACTATCCTCTAGAAAACCCAATCAGTTAGTCCTCCCTCTCCTCCCAGAGCCCCATCCACTCTTCATTTTCCCCCAGTCCTCAAAGGGATGGCTTCTGCTATTATTAAAAAATAAAGCCAAATGTAAACATAAAGCCTATTAAAAGATCAGTAATGCTTCATACGCACACAATTTGTAAAATAACTTCAATTTGAAGAAAAGCTTTGAACGTGGCCAGCAGTTACCCATGGAGAAGTCTTTTGGCATGCAGAGTTATATTATTCCTCCCACAAAGGAATGCTGAAAAATATACTTTTAACAGTCAAAATGGGTATGGAAGAATTCTTCTAAAGAAGGCATTCAAACTTTATGATGATTTTAGCCTAGTGGAATATGCAATTCATGAGAGAGTTGATTTTTTTTTTAAAGAATGCCAGAGGCATGAAACACTGAAAATCAGCTCTGAGACCAAATAGAATCATCTACTAGCAGAAGGCAAAAGGCATCCAGCAGAAAAAACACAAACTTACCAATGCACCAAACAGTATTTTCTATGAACAAAAAACATGGACTCAGAGCAAATAATCCCCATTTAGATTATTTCTATTATTGCTATAATAAAAATACTTTGTGAGGACAAAGTGTTGCATAAGTACGTAATAAGAAATCTTCATGAACTTCATATCTGGAAACTGTTCTCCCCCCTTTTCAGGGTGATAGAAATGCTAAGCCCTCTACCCCAAGGCCAGTGGAGGCACAGAAGTGGGAACACCACAACGTGATCTTTCAGTCTCGCATTCAAACACCAAACACTCCAGGAGCAGCCAACAGATCTGCTTCAATTTTTAAAGATTATGATAATCTAAATACTCGCTCCTTTTCTTGGGTCTCTCTGACACTCCCTCTGTGAACAACAAAGATCGGTAAGTGGGGAAAAAGATGTCTAGCCCTAGACGTTTTTTTCTCCAGTGCCCCAAGTCACGGCTGTGATTTCATCATGTAACTTCACAGAAATGTTTTTTTCAAAGTCAGAATGTCACGAGTATTCTTCTGCTACCTTAACACAGCAGCACATAGGGACTATTTTTCTGCTTGCTCCAACAGATTTACGCAATGTCATAAATCACTGTACCATAATAGCTCACTTTTAACAAGTAAAAAATGTCTGACACGTTGAGTGTTACTATAATTTTTTATGGCTGAAAGTGTACAGAGATCAAAGTTTTCTGGTTTTTTTAGGCTTGCTCTATACATTCAGACAAGTCTGTGACAGAGGGGGTTTTGCCACATGTTTAAATGTAAAATCTCAAGGATGTCAGGAGGAGAAAAGAAAATTACTGAATGTCACGTTTCCAGCCCTTCTTATGACCAAAGCAGAGGCAGACAAACTTTTAAAAGAAAACTTTCTAGTAACGTTATATGCTGCTACTGTTCCCTCTGGATTCTCCTGCAAATGAGTCAAAAGCTTGAGAGATACTTTTCTGGTAACACACAAACAGATAAATAAATTATCACAGGCTGAGGATAATTTAAACATCTGGGAGCCAGCTCAGGCCTGTCAAACAAGTTACAGACACTCCGAGACAGGAAAGATCAATCTTCAGCCCCTGATTTCTCTGCCAGAGAGCAGAAACTACATCACCCACCCTCTATACGAGGAAAATTGTGTATTTATAAAATAATCCGCTGTGCCTCTGTATTTAAAGACATTTCTATTCATCTATTTTATGGGGGTAAGAAAAAAGCAATCTCAAAAGACAAGGATTCAAGCTACCCATGTGTTTGTCTCGACTATTTGCTCAATAAGGCATTTTAAATTTCCATCGATATGGCTGTGTAGTAAGCTGAATTCCTAGAATCAAAAAGGTATAGGATTTATAATAAAATGCAAAAAACTGCAAAAGCAATAGGTTTTAGTCTGCCAGACTAAACAATCTCGCATCCAAACAGTTACATTCACACACTGCATATAAGGACTGTTACTCAGATAGTCTCTGCAACCAATGTATATGGTCCACAGGTCAATAAATTAACCAGCACAGCCCAACAGCTAGACCTGGGGATGAAGAGTTGTAAGGCCCAACTGCCACCTAACCAACACCGACTATAGCGGAATTTATGCCAACTCTTCCTTGGCTCACTTTTTGATGAGGATAACGCTTTGCTGCCTAAGTGACCAGACTCAATATATTTGAAGTTACAGATATTGTCCGCTGAGGATGTTTACGCTTCAGACACAAGCGCCACAGTTCTACTTCTCACGACTGCTGGCCGATACAGCTGAAACTCAGCTGCAGTTTGAATCTCTGCTCCGAAGCCCTCCAAGACTGCTTTGCCAGTAGCAGAGATTCATTTGGAACTACTTACACAGTCACTTAAGTTTTTATAAAACTTCTATTTATTTACTTTGAGACAGCTCGATGAAAGCGAAAATCAAAGAGCAAATGAGCCAGGATTTACATAGCATGCATATTATGGATTTGTTATCCTTCATCCCATCAGTTCACCCTCAAAACTAGTAGTTACAGCATGAACACAGACAAAAATAAGTCAGCTTGCAGAACTGCCAACAGTTGATTGCTCTGCTGTTGCAGTACAGTGTTTAAAACATTCAGTGCAGACAACAGAGTACAGAGAAGGCACACATGGCCAAAAAAAAACCCCTCCTTCAGTTGTCTTCTCTTCATTCCATCTTTCACACTTCATGTACTAACCCGTTACTCTTAAGCTGGCAAGGGAACTATTTCCTTTCTGGAGACACATACGATAGATTAAAACTCTGTCTCTACTACTTAACATCTTTGTTATTACATCAGCATACCTACGTTACCACAAGTCATATCTTGAGTCCAAAAGCTCGTTACTCGATAACAGTGTCTTTCACTTGAGAGGGAGAAAGAGCCGTATTTTACGACATACGTATTCACATTAAAGAAATACTTCCAACAGCTCCTAAAAAAATACCTTCTTGTGTTAACAACTACACTTAAGATTGTTAGAAATGCGACAACTATCACATTTAGTTTGCTTTCTACCCTTTAGAAAAGTGGCTTTCATTATTTCACTCAATTCAGGTAATAGTTCTGTGTTCTAGTTCTCATATATGAAGCTTGGTGTTGTTTTGCTCCTGATATTGCAGGTACAGTAGTGACTAAATGATTCAAACCTTTCTTATAATATGATATTATGTTTTTTAATGTTTCTGAGTTATTTGCAAATATAGCGTGTTTGTTTTAAATACACACATATAAAAGTAATGTCAGATTATTGACTGTGTCATATACTCAAATACAAATGGAAGACAAAAATTAACTCATTCAAACAAAAGTTTTGGAAAGAAGACAACAGTGTTGCGTTAAGTGCACTTTTTAACAAACAACTCAAATGCCTATGAAGACTTTCACCTCTTTGTATTGCCATGGGTAACTGATTTGGACAAACTTTATTTTTGTTGACACCCTCATCACAACAGCAGCTGCTGAAGCTTTGCCATATCAAGTATATGATGCATGCATCCCCTCCTTGACATTCTTCAGTTCCTCTTTGCACTGCACTCTACATTACCTCGGCATGTCCTCAAGTGGCCTCCTCTGTTCCCAGCACTTAATCTCTGAAACTTGTCTTGTCCATCAAGACACATTAACTTGGATAGCACTTCTGATTTGTCTGAAAACTGTTTGAAACTGTTATAAATGCAATTCAGACCCCAGACTGCTTCCACTGCACCAATTACACAATATTTTCTGGAGTCTTTTGGCATTACTGTGCTAGTTACTGAAAATTTTTTATTAGCTGGCAGTTTTTTCCATAAAGTAATGACTATCTGTAAAAATATTTCAGTCAGCATTGAACTGTTACGGTAAAGAGAGATATAACAATCTGAATCAGCAGACTGTGTAGTGATTCATATACGCATGCAGCATTGAAGCAAACAGCCTAAGAGACAGGAAAAAACCAATTCTCTTACCTCATAGCCAAACTGGAGTTCATCTGAGGTTAGCATAATGATATCATCATCAATAGCCAACACTGCTTCTGTTTCAATTTCATCATAGGGGAAGAAGCGGTTACTAAGCTTGTTTTCTGCAGTCCTAACAACTTTCAGTGGAACACGAATCTTCGGCCAGAGGGCATCTAGAGAGAAAAATTAAAAGAAACAGAATTCAGTATTATACTTTACTTCTGAACAAGTCTGCACATCTGTCTTCACTTCTCTACTCTTTTTTTCTTCACATCTTAAACAAAAGCTTCTTAATGGCCAATTTACGCCTGGCTTTCAGTCAGGCAAACATGTAAGCGTAAGAAGGCAAGAGACAGAAGTTCAGCTACATTTCCCTCTGTCACTTTCTGCAGAGAGCTCCACAAACAACTATATGGGGGATAGCTTGCCGAAAACAGCAGTCTGCAATACTCACATAACAAGAGTCAGCGATACTATGTATTGGTTTAGGACACACAGCAAGAAAAGATATTTTATTCAACTGCAACTATTTAAAAGAATTTGAAGCAGCAGTATACAATCACTGACTGCAAGTCTAGGGTCATAAAGAATTTGAAAAGCAATGTTAGTTCTATCAAGTGCTGAGAAAAAAAAAAATTATGTCAATTAAAAATCTAGATACACCTAAAATGTTAATCACCATTGACAGTTACAGAGTATATTCTGCATATGAGTAATTTCTTTCACCTTCAAAGTCCTAAGCGGCGGTGATAAATTAAGCTACATAAATGCAAAAGGATTCTACTTGTGCCCTACAGCATTCTTAAAAGTAGAATAGAGCACTGGAGTACATAATCATGAAAATTCACAAGTCAAATGATGCTTTAACCAGCAACAAAGAAACCCGTAGATAAAAAGCTGGGTCCAAATCACTCTCCAATGAGATTTTAATTTCTTGTTATGTGCTTAAAATGTAGCACCTTAAGTGTCATATTAACGATTTCTGCAGGCTTTTGCATATATTAAAAAAATTTTCAAAATCCTATTCTATTCCTACAAAAGTATAACTGCAGGCATAAGTATAGAGCACCAAGCCAAAAGAAACACAACTAAGGACCAAATATTAAACATTAATTCTAAATGCACATATTTAACCATATACATTTCCTGGCACAAAGCTTAACAATAGCCACTATTACAGGCTGATGCATTCCGAAAGCACCAATTCATCAAAAAGTAGTTTAATTAATAGCTAAACAAATAGCTACACAAGTACAAATGTGATTTGTTAGTTTCTTCCAGCTTTCACAATAAACATATACTTCAATGAAAATTTGAGGGAAAAGACAGCATCACAAGATGAGTCTAAGTACCTTGTGAACAGCAGATAGATAACACCTCAGTTTCTTACGCTGGTGAAATGCAGGGGATGACAATGGTATGTGATAAAAAGAAGTGAAAACACTTCAACTACAAAGTGACTGCTCAGAGAATTTCTAAGTTGTTCCCTATGTCAGATGAAAACACGTGTAAGGATACACCTCAAGGGAGGTGATCCTTCCCCTCTACTCAGCACTGGTGAGGCCACACCTAAAGTACTGTGTCCGGTTCTGGGCTCCTCAGTATGAGACACGGACATACTGGAGAGAGTCCAGCAAAGAGCCACGAAGAGGATGAAGGGACTGGAGAACTTCTGCTATGAGAAAAGGCAGAGAGAGCTGGGACTGTTTAGCCTGGAGAAGAGAAGGCTCAGGGAGGGTCTCATCAGTGCGTACAAACACCTGCAGCAAGGGTGTAAAGAAGACAGTGCCAGGATCTTTTCAGTGGTGCCCAGTGACAGGACCAGATGCAATGGGCACAAACTGAAATACAGGAGGTTCCCTCTCAACACGAGGAAACACATTTTCACTGCTAGGGTGACTGAGCACTGACACCGATTGCCCAGGAAGGATGTGGTGTCTCCATCCTCGGAGACATTCAAAAGCTGCCTGGAGATGGCCCTGTGCACCCTGCTCTAGGTGACTCTGCTAGAGCCAGAGGGTTGGACAGGGTGATCCCCAGAGATCCCTTCCAAGCTCAGCCATTCTATGATTCAGTGATAAGTGGAGTCTGTAAGAACGGACACTGGGCCTGAAACCACTGTTTTCATCAGCGATCTAAAATACATATAAATTGCCAGTGCAATTGACACAGAGCCTGGGGACATGAAAAATAGCGCAGACAACAAGGTCATACAGAGCACTCTGGACTGCTTCGGCAGCTAGGCACATTTGAACAAAAGCCAGACTGACACAACTTGACACACAGTTGAACACTAGGATCAAGGCAACTTCTTCCCTAAAAGCAGCTGCTTGAAAAGGATTCAGTGATCAGAGTGGACCTTAGCTCTCAGCTTGCTGCTGGGGCACTATGAATTAACGTAATTCTTGTGTACGCAGACGGGTAAGTAGTAAGAAACAGGGCAAGGGGAGTGGAGGGCAATTTTCCCTCTATGCAGACATAGTTAGAGAGATTCTAAAATACTGTTTGATTCTGGTGCAATTTTCAAAGCATGTTAAAACACTGGAAATGGTGCAGGAACGAATCATGTAAGTTACTTGAGGGCAGAAGAAAATGCCTTACAGTGGAAGTCAGAGATCAATCTGTTTTGCTTATCAAAAGAAGAAACGAAAAGTGGATTTGATTCACATGTA